AGCTGGGGAAACTTTAAAGGAAATTTTAATTAAATATTTTATATCACATTTCTCAAATGTTAACAGTGTAAAGACTCTTTTTAAAGAAAAAATTCGCAGGGACCTCTGGGAATAAGTTTCCCACTTTGAAAAACACTGACTGAAGAAAACTGAAGTCATTATCATTAAAACAAAAATACAAAATAAAAACAAACTTATTGAACTCATTACTGAAATCAAAAGAATGTGTCTGCAGAACCCAGTTGAGAAACTCTCCTGCTTAGATTACATATTAAAAGAATAGTGAGTGACCTAAAGAAATGTATAACAAGTAATTTTGTAATACATGGAAATATCCATTTTCAAAATATGTTTGGAAATGAATTTTATAAGGCCAAACTTAAAACAAGGCCTTCCACAGAGTAAGTGTTCAATAATAACAACAGTAATAACAGAAGGTCAATAACAGTAGCAATAATAATTTTAAAATTTAGGTATTTAAAAAAATTTGGGTATTTTTAGTAGAGTTTCTTGTATTTGTTAAAATGAAGGTGATGAAATTTGTAATATTCACAGATTTTTTTTTTTTTTAAGATTTTATTTATTTATTTGACAGAGAGAGACACAGCGAGAGAGGGAACACAAGCAGGGGGAGTGTGGGAGAGGGAGAAGCAGGCTTCCGGCAGAGCAGGGAACCCGAAGCGGGGCTGGATCCCAGGACCCTGGGACCATGACCTGAGCCGAAGGCAGACGCTTAACGACTGAGCCACCCAGGCGCCCCAATATTCACAGATATTAATATATGTCCTGGTTGCTCCTTGTCTTTTTTTGGTTTCCCACATAAAATAACATGTCCTGGTTTGTAATTTTTTTTTTTTCCTTCTCCAGGCCAAAACAAAAGTTCTCTGCAGGGCAGCTATGGAGGTGGGGGCCAGGGTGAAGTCTTCCCTCTGAAATCCCTGCTCCCTGAGACAGGGGGAGCAGGTAGCCTGCCACATCCCCTACGGAGCTAAGACCACAGGGATCTCAGGGGGTTTTGCTGTTACTTTGAAATGGTGTGAGGTTTCCTGCTTTGTCAGAAGCCCTACCGAGGGGGAAATTGAAGGTGCATTGTGGAAGCCTCCATTGGAGGTTCCGGCACCGGCACAGGAAATGACAAGTTTGCAGGAACTCTGTGGTTACTCTAAGGGAATTTGCTTTGGATTTTTATTTCTAAATTCTCTGAGGCATCCCCAGGCCTGAATCAGTTGTCTGTTTTGGGCTCAGCTCTGCATGCAGGTTCATCTGACAGTACGTTTTCCTCATTAATTTGAAATTGGCCAGCCACAAATTTCATCAGCGAAAACCAAATTCTAATCTTGGGTATAGATATAGAAAATGTGGCTTTAGATTATGTTGCTATAGAAAACACCTACCTACAGGTATGAATTGGAATCTTCATAGGTGATTTTTAGAAATAAAGTAGTAAATCTGTCTGTAGTAATAGGGTCAACCAAGGAGAAAATAGGAGCACATATTGTAGTTTGTAGACCAGTATCCTGTCACAACACTATGGAACATTTGGTTCATGTTCTGTCACACATTCTTAAGAATAGTTATGCAATTGCCTCCAAGATGTTGGCTGTTTCAGACAACCTTTAAAGTTAGGGTCCCTTCTCCCCTTTACTGGGTGAAAGTAATCTATTTTTATGTGGTGGTAGTGGGTAATATTTCTCCTACACAAACTTTTGTTTTTATCTTTTGAAACTTTTAAAGAATTGAGCCGAAAGAAATAAGACTCTCTCTATGCATGGAAGGAGGCTGTCTTTGACCTGTCGCAGCCCAAAGTAGACATTCAGAGCAGACTCTGGGGCCAGGAGACCTGGCTCTGCCACTTGCTGGTCATGTGACTTTGGACAAGTTACTCGAGCTCTCTGTACATGTTTTCTAATCTGTGAAATGAGGATACTAGAGCTATTATAAGGATTTAGTGAGTTAGAATTTGGCAAGTGCAAAGCATGTGCTAAGTACTATATGAGGACCTGTTAAAAAAGAAAAACCAAATGATTTTCTAATGATACAGTTTTTCAGAAATTTGAGGTGTTTGCTTCTATAAGGAACGTAAACAGGTTAGTATGAATTTGTTCAGTTGTCTGCTAATAATCAACAGTATCAGAGATAGGTCACTAAATATGAGTCCTTATAGAATGAACGGTTCTGCACCTGTAGGAGGGGAGGTTCCTTGTGAGAAACACAGCTAAGTAAATTACTGAGACTCTGGCTGTCACACATTTTTATCCAAGTGCGATAAAGTGCACCTCTTTACTTCAGCCCTCTGCTTATAATTCTTTCTGAAAAATTGCAGAACAAATGAGCAAGACTCCACCTTGGACCAAAGGAATCTTGTATATTATGGTGACAAATACTATAACTTGGATGCAGTCCTGATTTGTAACCAAGGAGGGGATTCATTCCCCCCCAAATCAGTTAATAGTGCCCTTAATAAAAGGTAGGGGAATCTTTTTTTTTAGAACTTTGCTGGGCAACCAAAAATGTAAGTTTATTTTAAAGCTTTGCTCAATGTTTCTGGTTTCTGGATTTAGGAAAATAATATCACATTATTACTGTAAAGATTTAAAGAGAAAACACCTCTAGATATTGTCAGTTTTGTAACTATCTATATAATTTCTTGTGTTTTTCCATATCATCTATTTAAGCTGCTGAACTAATTAAATAACCCTGAATTTTAAAGATGTTTTGCCCCCCAAAATAAAACAAAACCAAACAAACCCAAAAAACAAAACACACACGCACACACATACCAGAACCCAACCAGCCCCAAATCCCTCAAACCTTTCATTTTGCCAATATGTAAAGCTTTTGGGAGCAATATGCTCTGGTGGTTGAAGACTTGGGCTCAGAGCTAGATGGCTGTGGGTTTGAATCCTTGACTTCCCACTTATTTCTTATGCTATTGTGACAAGTTATAAGGCTTTAGCATATATGTAGATTTGTACATGGGCCTCAGTTTGTATATAGCCTTATAGGGCTGTGAGGAATAAATATATTCACATGTATAGAATGTTTTGGACTCTGCTTGGCACAGAGTAATTGTTCAATAGATGTTGATAGTTAACATTATTGAGAATCTGGCTCCATTGTGAACAGTCATTTCACTCTTTAAAGGCAAGACATTCCTAAGAATTAAGTTACTTAGGACTTGTTTTTCTCTCTCTCTTCTTCTACCCTGCCATTTTATTTAGAAATTAGAAAGCCTTGGGATGCTTGGCTGGCTCAGTCAGTAGAGCATGCGATCTCAAAGTTGTGTAGAGTTAGGGTAGAGTTTACTTTAAAAAAAAAAAACTTAGAAAAAAAGAAATTAGAAAACCATAACATGATTGATACGTTAAAATGTAAGATTAGATATTCACACCCAATTCAAGTGTTCATGTCCGCACTTGAAACTAAAATTTGACAGTGTGAGGCATGAATACTATGTAATTTGAGTCTATGAGAAATCTAAGGCCTTAAATCTAGAGAGACTATATCAAAGCTGAGGCTAACTTCACCTGGACTGCTTTTGCCTTCAGGGTATTATGGCTATGTATATCTCCAAGGCCTAGTTCAACCCTCTCAAGCAGTAGGTGCTCAGTAAATATTGGTAAGGAAGGAATCGTTCATTGAGGAGGTTTTTAAAATAAGCCAGGTAATCAAAGATGATTTGACCTTTATGAAAGTATCTCCTGGATTCCCTCTGTAGAGGTACAAGAGCAAGTGGGTAAGAAATACTTCTTCTCTCAAAGTGGGGGAAATGGAGTAACTTTCCAACGAATAATATAAGCAATAGTATAAGAAACCTCTCTATTCCATTCCAGTGTATTAAAGGCCTAGGACCAGAGGACTTTAAAGCTGGGAGAGGTCTCCTAGGCCAAGTTCCTCCTTCTACAGAGGAGAAAAGAGTCTCGGAGAGTTTAAGTTGTTTGTCCAACTGGAAGTCCAGTCTCAGAAATCACTCAGCACACGATCATTTCATCAGCCCGTTGGTAAAACAGTGTCCTGTGACTTAAGCATGTCGTTTAATACAAAAACGAGGTGTAAGCAAGAGTATCCAAGTGGGGTTGTGCTTACTGCATTCGTCACTCGTCCAGTGGACAGTTCACGGGCACAGGTAGGTACGCAGAAGTTCACCTTCGTTTCCGCCGCGCCGAAGTTAGGGTAACGCGGGTAAAGCTGACCTAGCTCCTTTATTTGTATTAATTTATTTAGCGAGCAGGGAGAAGAGCTGGGTAAGGCGTTCTCCGCTGCGAGAGGAGGAGGCAAGACCCCACTGGCGCCCACCATCAGAGCGCATCTTGAGATAACAAGCAGGATTAGGGGTGGGAAAGACAAACGGGGACAGGATGAATGTGTACAGGTGTGTGGGTGTTCGGGGGGGCTTTGCTAAGGAGTGGGCAAGAGGGTGTGATCAGTTTACTGGAGGATTTAGAACTTTTATTATCAAGACACCGACGTAAACCAAATAAAAACCCAACGCCTCCAGAGACCTGGAAAGTGTGAAGGACGACGCAGTTTGAGGGAGCGGATCCCTGCGGCTGGCGACGCCGTCCCCACCGCCCCCAGGACTGAGACACCCACTCGCCGCCCCACCTCGGGCGCGCAGCAGCCCCGCAGTTCCCGGGGCTCCTTCTCTCCCTCCCTCCTCAGCCCGAAGGGAAACGCTGGCTCCAGCAGCGCTCGGGACTCATCCATCAGCCGGGGAGGAAAAGGGGGAGGAGAGAGGAGGCGGGCGGCGGGAGGAGGAGTTTCTCCGCCGCGCGGAGCCCTCGGTGGGGCGGCGGCGGAGGAGCGCCCTTCCCCCCGCGCGCTGATTGCTGTGGCGCCCTGCCCGTCCCCGCCCGCGTGTGTGTGTGAGGGAGAGCGAGTGCGCTGCGTCGGCCCGATGGGGGTAATCGAGGGTTTCGGGGACGCCGAGCGGCGCTTTCCTCTTCCCAGTGAGTGAGGGAGGGAAATCGGCGGCTCTCGTGCCCGGCCACTTTCCCTGGGCGATTCCTGGAGCTCCCTGCAGGAGGTGAAAGTCCCGGCGGGTCCGGATGGCGTAGTTGTGCCACGGCGCAGCAGCTGCCGGAGCTCGCGGCCGCCGAGCGCTGGGCGGGGAAACTTGCCTCTGCTTTCCTCTAACTTGCGGCGGGTGGATCTCCGCTTGACACACCGCCGCCGAGGTACGTGCGGGTCCGGCCCCGCGGCGCTACCGTCCGCGCGGGGACACCCCTGGCCGCGCTACTAGCCCTGCGCCCGTTCCGGCCGCGGGCTCTGCAGGCTGCTAGGTGCCTGTGGGCGCTGCGCGAGGCTCCGTGCCTGTTCGCGGCCGGAATCGCACCGGCCGCCCGGACCCCCGGGCTTGGGAGGGCGGTGTTGGTCCAGCAGTGTTTACGCTCGGAGGAGCCGGGACCCTTGGCCCGCGGTGCGTGGGGAGCGGCCGTCCTGGGTCGGGTGGGCAGCGCTCGGGGCGATGCGCTGTCCTGGGGAAGACGCCTCCTCCTCCACGCCTGTCCTCGCTCTTCCTTTCCGCGGTTTCTTCCGACCCCCGCGGGGCGCGCGGGCCACTTCCATCTGGGCGCGTGACAGCGTCGGTGGGAAATGTTTGTTGTGGGTTTGCACTCATTTGCCGTTGCGGAGGCTGCGCCCTGGGACTCGCGCACCGACGGGAGCTGCGCTCCCCGCAGCGGGCGGCCTCCCGGTGTTGTGCTGGGCGGCGCGGATCGCTGCCGCCCGGAGCCCCGCAGAGAGCGCTCCCCCTGTTAACAGAGTAGCCCATTACCCAGGTCAGTTTGAAGGCTTCTCTTAGCATGTTCATTTGATTAGAACAAACTGGAAATCTTGGGCTGTTGCTAGAAGAATCTGCTTGCAGACTTGTTATTATTAGGGCATTTGCCCACTTTCCAGAATCACGTAGGATAGGGAGCCGGCGTTGTCAAGCGTGAGTTACCTTGGCACCGTGGAACTTAATGGATTTAGTGTGTACTAAAAGAGCTGAGAGAAGAAAATCGCTCATTTCCTTAGCTGTGAAATGGGAATGATAATGGGTCTCAAAAAGTCACTGTGAGGACTGAATTATTTAATATATGTGAAGTAACTAGAACAATGCCTGGCAACGAGCAAGCGCTACACGAGTGTTAGAGCAGCTTATCCTGAGCTCAGAGGTGATGGGAAAAGAGCAAAGAGGGTAAAGGATGGTAGAGTGACAGCCTGAGATGGGGAACCATGCGTTTTCTGAACATCTTCCTCAGAAGAAAAGTGAGCGGTTTGGGTGGAAAGAAGTCTCTGTAAGTAACGAAGCACATGTCAAGACCTTTTAATTTTCCTGAAATGGTACTTTAAGGCTGCGAACGGTTATTTCACTGTGAAATCATCTATTTTTCTTGAGTAATAATAGCTAACGTTTACTGAGCGCAAACTGTGTGTCACTCTCCTATATGCCTCGCAGACCACTTAAGCCTCACACCCACTCTGTGGTTAAAACACTATTAGTCCCATTTCACAGATGAGACTGTAGAGGTTAGTTACTTGCTCTAGCAACATAACTTTCTGTTCTGACTCCAGACCTAGCTTAGTCACCTAGTGCAGGAGGTGCAGTCAGATTTGTGTGCAGTGAGCCCAGGGTCTTCTCCTGTTGTTCAGCTTCCCGTTTTAGTTGGACATATCCCTTGAAACAGGAATAAGGTATCTGTAATTAATTTAGGTGATATACTTATTGGGGTGCTGCATTACAGCTCTGAAACTGGATCCAAGTAATTAAAAACAGAACCCTGATTGGTATTAATATGAATCTTTATTCTTAATTTCTTTTATTCTCTACACATCATCAGAGTTACTTGGCTTCCTTAGGAAACAGCTTAGGGTTGGCACAGGAGGCAGGGAAATAATTCTTACCCCCTTAAGGGCTATTAAAATGAAATTGATTTCATGCCATTGTGTCAGTTAAAGGATGTTGCCCTGTTTCATGGTGTTCTCTGCTTTTGGCTTTAATTCTGCATTGTTTAGTGTTTCAAGGCTTCAGCATATTTTCAGCCCTTCAGTTTGTCTTTGTCATTTGTCAACTTTAATTTTTCCTGTTTTGATGGAACCGGACCATTATATGGAAGCTTTGCTTAACAACTGTTGATCCAGCTCATGTTTTTAAATATGAAAATCACCAACTTACTTTTGAACCCCAACACTTCAAAGGCAACCCCTGGGGAATCCATTGTTATTTTGAATATTAGCCAATAGGGGGAGTATAACTCACCATTGATGTCTGTCAGGCACTTAAACCAGTTTTTAAGGTGTCAAACATACATTTCAGAAATGGAAAATGTTGTGGCTTTATCTAGCAAAATCACCAAATTGCTTTCTGAGTTTACAGTGGAAAATTGGGTTTAATTTCAACTGATTACAATAAGAATGACCTTGAGGACCAGCCCTATATGTTGGACATATGTTAAGAACTCTGGTGGCTGGACAGATATTAAATACACTCACATGTTGTTTTCTCGGTTTGTTTTCCCTAAGTGTATGTAAGGTAATTTGGTGCACTTTGAATAATATTTCAAGTTATCCAGGAGAACTGGGAGTCCAAAGAGATCCATTGTGAATCTTTTTTGTAATGATCCTCATTTGTCTTTTGTAGAAAATTGGATGTAGTGAATTTGTTCCCAGGGAGGATGGTGTACTTATAATCCTGTCATTATCATTACTCATCAACATCTTCCAAGTGCAAGACAATGAGGGATTGTTATCCTGAGTAACAGCAATTCTAGGCATTCTTCAGAGGCTTATATTTTAGTAAACAGTAATAGTTCAGAAGTATCATACTTGTCTAGCAGAAGCGTGAAGTGTCTATAGACACTCATTCTTGTAAATATAAGCATTATTTAAGAATTAACATGCTTGGAAAAACAGTGAAACTGAGTTTCATTTATTTATTTCTGAAGATTTTATTTATTTATTTGACAGAGAAAACACGTGCGCACACAAGCAGGGGGAGAGGCAAGCAGAGGGAGAGGGAGAAGCAGGCTTCCTGTTGAGCAGGGAGCATGATGCAGGACTCAATCCCAGGACCCTGGGATCATGACCTGAGTCAAAGGCAGATGCTTAACCGACTGAGCCACCCAGGTGCCCCTGAAACTGAGTTTTATTTATTTATTTATTTTTAAAAGATTTTATTTGTTTATTTCACGGAGAGAGACACAGCGAGAGAGGGAACAGAAGCAGGGGGAGTGGGAGAGGGAGAAGCAGGCTCCCGCTGAGCAGGGAGCCCGATGCGGGGCTTGATCCCAGGACTCTGGGATCATGACCTGAGTTGAAGGCAGTCACTTAACGCCTGAGCCACCCAGGCACCCCTGAAACTGAGTTTTAAAAAAGGTTTTCAATCTTTGCCTGCAGTTTTGTAGACCAGTTTCCTTTCTTGTTTCTTGTGTATCAGGTAGTTTTGACTTTATTTCATTTAGCAAGCTAGGGTCATGTGGATCCTTTTAAAAAATAACTTTCAAATTTAATCCCTTCTTTCTAAATCTCAGCATTGCAAAAGTTATTTCAGGGTAGCATCTTATTTAGGATTGAACTTAGTCTTCCATGCTCTGATATAGTTCATACTCTTCAGCAGATATTTTTCAGCCCCCTACCCCTAATAGACTTCTGGTTCCTGGTGTTGGAGTTTGGCAAATTAGCCGTCTTCTTTCCAGCCTCTGATAGCAGGGGGTCAAGATGCCTTAAGGCTTCCTAAGGCTTTGTCTTGGAGAGCCTTTATAGATTGACAGAATTGGTTTGCTTAAAAGAAGGTATTGTCCTATTCTTTTTAAGACTTAAAGGAATTAATCTTCCCCCTTTTCTTTTTTTGCTCTTAACAGCTATTTGAAAATGATTTTTATCACTTTTGTTTTGTACACTGGAGCATTTTCCTTGTGATTTTTAACTTTTGAAATTTTGAAACTTAATATTAACTACCTTTTGAAATTTGCATAACTCAAGTAAGTAAATGTTTTTAGGGGACTTTGTAACTTGTAAGTAATCTTGTATCACCTCTAGAAATATGGACAGTTTGGAATGTAAAAGAGCGAATCTAGGTGATATGAAAAGCTAGCCTTCCACAAATAACAGTGAGCCTTGAACAATTTCAGTAAGAGATTTTGTGGCTTTGAGAGAAAATTACTGCACCAAGATCCATGGCAGTAATTTCTCTGGTTTCACATCTTCAGAGTTAATACTTGGAATGATAGCATTGTCTCTTTTTCATAAAACACAAACTAATTAGTTTGGTTTCTAGTCAAGCTGAAATAAATCAACACAGCTTGGAAGGACTTTATAAAAAATGATCTAGGTTCATTTCCTGGACTCTGTCCATTTCTAGATTTCTTGTTTTATATCTTTTGAAATAGAACATTTGTTTGTTAACTGACATTGAGCTTTATTTTCTCTGTTTGCAAAGTCCTTGCTTAAAATTTAGCAGAGTTCTGAGCATTTTTCTTTCTTTCAGAAGGAGAGTAGTGATTTTTATCTCTCAACCAAGATGTGTGCGATATTTAGTGTTTGAAACAACATTTGTAAACATTCTGCTTGAGGCCACTCTGATTTGGACCTTATGCATTTTTTATTCTTTAGTTTTCTAGGTCAAACTTCAAGACTTAATAAGAGGATAACTAAGGGTATACCTACAAGGCATGGTACCTTTTAAAATTGAGATTATTACTGGAAAGTCTGAAATAAGAGCCCTAGAGTCATGCCCTTAGGCCATCCTGATATCTCCTGCTTAAGGTAATCATAGGGAAAAAAAAAGATTAATACTGACGTTTGTGCTGAAACTTTTTTCAAGTCTGGCAAGAGGACTCTGAATTAGAATAGAGTATGGCAAAGTTCATTTTTTAGGATTTAATGTTGAATTATTGCCGCAGTGATAATTTATAATTAAATCTAAAATATTATCCCTATCTTTACTTTATGAAAAATCATGGTGATACAGAAGCATATACTTTCCCTATCTCTTGGACACTGGACTCCAGGGGAAAGGGGGTCAGAATGGGGCACTGTTTGCAGAGGAAGAAGCATCTGCTTGTTTGTCCTTCCAAGTACATAATTCATTTCCCTGGTACATGCTGAAGGTCAGGATTTTGTGTGAAATTGCAGATGGAACATTTGTAAAAACACATTTTAGTTGATTAGTCCTTGAAAAAATGATCTTTAGAAA